CGACTAGGTAATTCATATATTTTAGTTTTCCAATAGTAACATTTTCATTAATTTAAGAAGTCCAGGACGAGTTGAAGTTCGAAGGTAATTTAGAGGTTGAGAAAGGCACTTCCGAGAAAAAAGTTTCAAACAGAAGTTACGCACTTTTTCCCTTAGAATCCGAATCTGTAGTTAAAATACATATGTATATCTGTTTGAGAAAATGGACTTGCGGTCAGTTTAACCCACTTCCGGTCAAAATCGGAACTAGGTAAAGTTTTTGCGGTTTTAAATAAAACACATTTCCCTCCATTTTTTCGGTCTAGGACACCCCGTATATCCGCACTTGCGACTAAATAAAGATTTGTTGTTAAATTTTGTTTATATTTAATCTACTTTCAGCTCGTTCCATGACTGTAAATATGCATTTTTACCAGAAATTCGGTTTGACTTGGATTAGTTGGATATTTTTTTATTTTGCTATGCGCTGGTTTTTACTATTTTTGTCCGCTCTAGTCCCACTGTGCATCGTAGTTAAATAATGTAAGCAAAATAAACGGGTCGACGCACCGACGAGGCATGTTCCATTGTCACTGCTCTTGATCTCGAGCTCTGGCTTCGCATCGTAAACATAAATATGTATGTATGTGTGCATATGTGCGCTGTAGTAGTATTCAACAACGTGGTTTGGCATAAATTAATGGTTTACAAACAAAGTGTGTCCCAAGCTAACGAAGAATGTTAAACATTTACTTATCTATGTATTTCTGCTGTAAAGAATGGAAAAGGTGCTGCAGACGCAGTTGAGTTGAATAGGTCTAGCGTAATTTCGGAAATTATGTAAAAACTAGGGCTGTGCGATTAATTGATTACTCAAAATTTTAATTAATCATAAAGTAAATAACTCAATTATTCGATTAATTGGAAATTATGATTACTCAAAAGTTCAGTTACTCGAGTAATCAAGATTTTTGATTAACCAAAAACAAAAATATTTGAGTAAAATGCTTTATGATTAATCAAAATTTCGAATAAAATGAGTAATCAACATTTCAACTCTTTACATATGTATAAATTAGTTAAAGTTCCTTGATACTTTGAAAACAACGTTTCTGTTTTCAAAAATTAAAACAAAAATTTTTTTTCATACACAGAATGTAAAAAAGAAAATAAGCATTTTCCAAAGCAAACTCTATTACGAGCAAAATTATTTTTTTTTGAGTAATCATATTTCAAGTAACTCGATTAATCATCGTTTTGAGTAATCAAAATCTTGATTACTCGAGTAATTGATTAACCGAATAATTGATTAACCAACTTGCTCGAGTAATCGAATAATCGCACAGCCCTAGTAAAAACGAATAGTTTGGCTATTAACTTTTAATAGTATTTGTAAGAATGTATGCATGTATGTATATACAAATCTACATATGTACATATATATACATAAATTTATTTATTATTCAATGATGTCATTTCCGAGTTTTGTCATTGAAGTTAGGCTGGATTTACACGATGACACCTTTTGAATTACAAATCATTTATTTGGGTTTAATCAAAAAAGGATAAAAATAAGACCACTTCCCGTTATGGAAATAATAATTTGAGGCACATGTCTATTATCGCAACTGTCCTTTGAAATGGGTCCGATCGACATAATGATATAAGAAAAGCCATTAGCCGAATTTCGAGGTGTCTGGTTTTAGTTGTAGTTTTAACGGAAAACAATCGAAATCTTACTATAAAAATGTATGTACCTATGTATATTCCCTTAAGTTAAAAATTCGCAAAAATGAGTTCCTGATACTAGAATTCACCCCTTACTTAACTGCTACATACCTATATGGACATTTCCAATGTGAGGTGACGTGACATTTGTATGACAAAATCTTAAAAAAAATTAATCGAAAAAGTCAAAATGTTAATAAGTTTTTGCATAGCAATTAAGTAGTAAAAAAATTACTAAAATTTCCAATGAACATTTTTATCTCAATATTGTTCTAA